AGTTTTTTAAATAGAGGTTCAGATGCAGTTTTAAATGGTGAAGATGTAATTAACCGAACAACCCATTTTTGTAATATAAGAATTCTTTGTAAATTCGAGGAATAGTCTGCTGCCCAAATGATGTTGCATTATAATAAATGGGGCAAAATAAACAAATTGTATAAAGAAACTAAAATACTTAGAGGAAAGAAATGTTTCAGTTTGCTTATTATACCAATGTATTTTTAGATTTTATTTGCTACACTCTGTTGATGGCTAGACCAATTTAAGTTTTCATGAACTACTGTAAAACACCAAGAAATGATACTTCACTTTTTCTATCAAGCCGTTTGCCATTTAGAAAAACATCACATATTTTGTGCTTAAGTTTATTACTAACAACACGGCTGTGAAATTAGTTGTGTTAATTAAAAATTTATTTGTAACCAATTGCTAATCTTGCTTAATTCAGAATTAAATGTGTTAAACAATAAATCAAAGTTATTATTAGAATAAAATACGGTAGTATCATCGGCAAAGGAAACAGTGTGTAAAATATCACTAGCCAATGGTAAGTCATTAACGTAAATAAGAAATAATAAGGGTCCTAAGACGGACCCCTGTGGTACACCACACAAAATACTTATGTCGACTTACATACCAATTTGAACATATTGCTTTCTATTATTAAGATAACTTGTAAACCAGTCTAATGAGACCCCAATGCCATAACGAAAAAGTTTAGAAATTAGAATATCATGATTGACAAGATCAAAAGCTTTTGACAAATCAAGGAAAGTACTTAATAAAAATTCATTATTTTCAAACGCATTATTAACAGAATTCATGAGTTCTAAAACGGCAGGTGTGGTGGTATGATGTTTGCGAAACCCATATTGGTGGTTATTAAGTAAATGATTTTCAATAAAATAATTATAAAGGCGAGTATGCATTAATTTCTTAGTTATTTTTGAAAATATGGGTAAAATGTAGATTTGTCTGTAGTTATTTAGTAAATGTAATCAACATTTTTAAATGCAGGAATAACTTTATCTATTTTTAAAGGGTCAGGAACAGAACCTGTTGTAAAAGATAAATTAATAGCGTGTGTAAGGTGGCTTCAAATTGCAGGAGCAATTTTTTTTAAGAACAAAGGGTGTGTGAGAGTCATGCCCCGACCCTTTATTAGAATCGAAATCGTTGATTACTGTATATTTAATACTTCCGATTCAGAAACCGGATTAATAAAAAAAGAATTTTTGGGGGGAGGTGGTAAATATGAAAGTGGATCAATATTATTATTAGGTATTGAATTACATGCACTTTTGCCGATTTCTGAAAAGAAGTCATTAAAGTAACGGCAAATAGCATTTGTATCGTAAATATACTCTTGTTCAATTTTTACAATATTAGGGGGTTTTTTTAATTTTTTTACCAGGGTTTATTACAGAATTAATTACTTTCCATACCTTCTTAATATTAGATTTAATTTGATTAAATCTTGTTTCATAGTACTTCTTTTTTGACATTCGACAAAGAGCAATAAAGATGTTTTTATATTTTTTGTAATATAAATTATCTTGAGTGTTTTGGGAATTAATGAATATTTTATAAAGCTTATGTTTACTACATTTTAGAAGAGAGGGTGTCATCCATGGGTGTTTACATTTTGTTTTCTTTAGTTGTTTTTCTTGTAAATGGATGCTTTTGTTGTACGGTAGAAAATATGTCTATAAATGAATCAAAAGATGAATTAGAATGGTAAAGGTTAGACCAATCTGATTGAGAGAGATCTTGGCTAAATGCTCTTATATCTTTAATAGAATACAATTTAAAAGTATCATTATTTATATTTAAATCGTAATCAATTATTTGGAAAATAGGTAAATGATCAGAAATATCAGAAATGATAATACATGATACAATTTCAGAATTAATATAGTTAATGTAAAAATGATCAATAAAAGCATTATTTTGTTTAGATATCGTAGGGAAGAAAGTGTTTGATAAGATACCATTTAAATAATTATTTATAAAATTTTGATTATGTAATTTGATTAGATCTATATTGAAGTCTCCCATAATATTACAAAATTTATTTTTATAATTTAATTTTAAAAGCAGTTAATTTATTATGGCATTAAAATTGTCAATATTTGAATCGGGCGGTTTACAGATAATGCCAATGATATTATTTTTCTTTTCATGAAGAATTTTAAAAAAAAGAGGGAGTTGGTTAAATTGATTAATATCAAAGTATTTGCACAAATCAAGTGTGGATTATCTAGAGTTAAGGTGATTAACTAGCATTTTAGATTGTTCATCAAATTTGAAGTCATCATCTAATAATGGGTTAAAAACAGGATTATACATTTCAGGAGATTTAAATGAAACAGTAAATAATTCATTAGAATAGGCTTATTAGAATTTTATTTCCTGCACTTTTTTCTAGTGAGTACATGGTAGGGCTTAAAATTGTATGGTGAAATCTTTAGATATGGATGATATTGACTTCAATAAAGCAGGAATATTCATTGCGTCAGTAAAAAGATGTTCAGTACTAGAAATACTACAAAGTAATTCACATCGGTATTTACCTGGACGTTTCGATCACAATAGACGATCCTTTTCAACTGACTGTACATGTTGTTACTTCAGTCAGGTCATGACGTCATCAGTCTGATTACGTAATGCGCTGATGTTGGTCGGGGCCCCACCTGTCTCTGTTGTGTTAAATATTTCGTTGTATAGTTGAGAGTTCATAAGAAACCCTCATCTCTGTTCATATTATAATATTATCTAGTGTAGTTTGTTAGATGCAGTTTATGAAACATGGTCATCTTGATTCATACGGTATCCAGTTCGTTGTAGATAGTTGAGAGTTCATAAGATCCCTCATCCCTGTTCATATATAATGTTACCTAATGTGATTTACTGTAGTTAGAAGCAGCAATATGAAACATGGTCTTACGATCTTCTTGATTCATATCGAATATTGATTGCTGTACGCTTAAATAGACATTGCTTTGTAGCAATAATAAGTACTAAATAGATGTATTAATAGATCAGCTGCCCGCGCGGAACAAAATAAAGAACCTGATAGTGATAACCAAAATTTTATATTTTGTACGGATGTATGCTATAGACAGTTTTTATGAAAAATTTGAATAATGTGCCTAATTAAAGTGAGGCTTCGAAGGAAAAAAGTTGCTGATTTTTTTTAAGTCAGGAGAAAGTTGTTTGACGAAAAACAGGAACGGTAAATGAGATACAGATTTTTGAATATTTAAAATTTGGGGGGAAAGGGGCGTAATCTTTTTTTACACCTTTTCTCCCAGAATTCCCTCAGTTCTACCGCATATAAATTTTTTCCCTCCGGAGTCTGACTTTAATCCCGTCAACGGGGGTTACGGGAAAAAAAAGAGTGAGATTTGAACCCCATAAGTTCGATTATCTTTACACAAAACGTGCATCTTTACCGCTCGGCCACATTTCACCTGATACATATAGCCAATAATATTATACCCCTATTCCGGGCGCTGTTTTGCTGTCACCAACACCATGGAGGAAATATTTTTCCTCCATGCCAACACCCTCTCGCTATTGGGACTGCTATTTTTGCCATTTCTACCGTTATTAGATATAATTCTTGTTGATTGGTTATACCAAGTACTAAATAATTGCTCTTAAACTATCGTTTGTATATTTTGCTTGTACCTAGGAACGGTGGCGTAACGATGGGGCCGGGGCCCCTTTCTTGGACTCCGGTCGCCGATTTCCATCGTGGAATTTTAGATGTGCTTGTTTTTTAATCATGTTTGCATTGTTATTCTAAATGAATAATATCTCGTTTTAAAAATATTTTGACAAATTTAGTGTGGCCTCGGGTCGTTCCCTCTCTTTATTCCACCACTGAATAAAATATGATATATGTCCTACAGTCGATTTTAGAGATACACTATGGTGTTGCCCTAGTGGGCTGAGATAAGAAAATCTATTATTATGGCACGTCTAGATGGCCGGAAATGGCACACACAGAATTTAAATTGTGAATATAACAAATTTTACATAATAATTTTGACAAATTTGGTGGGGTCATAAGGTCAACGGGGCCTCTCCCTTTAATCCGCCACTGGATATAATATGATATATCTCGATTTCAGAGACATATTATGGTGTTATGTATCAACAAAGTCCTTTTGGTCAGGGTGCTGGATCGTGGAATCTATGGGTAGGGCCCTTTCTGGTCCCTAGTGGTCGGGGGCCCTGCGGACAGCCGCATGAGAGCGCATAGGCGTTACGCCACTGCCTAGGGATCTTTTACAAGAAATTTAATCTGTTATTTACCTGCGCTCGGCCACATTTCACCTGATGCATATAGCCAATAATATTATACCCCTATTCCGGGCGCTGTTTTGCTGTCACCAACACCATGGAGGAAATATTTTTCCTCCATGCCGGAAATATTTTTCCTCCATGCCAACACCTTCTCGCTATTGGGACTGCTATTTTTGCCATTTCTACCGTTATTAGATATAATTCTTGTTGATTGGTTATACCAAGTACTAAATAATTGCCCTTAAACTATCGTTTGTATATTTTGCTTGTACCTAGGAACGGTGGCGTAACGATGGGGCCGGGGCCCCTTTCTTGGACTCCGGTCGCCAATTTCCATCGTGGGATTTTAGATGTGCTTGTTTCTTAATCATGTTTGCATTGTTATTCTAAATGAATAAATGATATAATATCAGTGGCGGATGCAGGTATTTGAAATAAAGTGTGCCAGAGAGGGACTTTCACAGTTGGAGAGTCTATACCACCTCAGCCCCACGATGGTTGGGGCTGAGGTAAGAAAATTTATGATTATGGCACCTCTGATGGCCGGAAATGGCACTCACAGATATAAAATTGTGAATATAATTTTTTTTTCTATCTCGTTTTAAAAATATTTTGACAAATTTAGTGTGGCCTCGGGTCGTTCCCTCTCTTTATTCCACCACTGAATAAAATATGATATATGTCCTACAGTCGATTTTAGAGATACACTATGGTGTTGCCCTAGTGGGCTGAGATAAGAAAATCTATTATTATGGCACGTCTAGATGGCCGGAAATGGCACACACAGAATTTAAATTGTGAATATAACAAATTTTACATAATAATTTTGACAAATTTGGTGGGGTCATAAGGTCAACGGGGCCTCTCCCTTTAATCCGCCACTGGATATAATATGATATATCTCGATTTCAGAGACATATTATGGTGTTATGTATCAACAAAGTCCTTTTGGTCAGGGTGCTGGATCGTGGAATCTATGGGTAGGGCCCTTTCTGGTCCCTAGTGGTCGGGGGCCCTGCGGACAGCCGCATGAGAGCGCATAGGCGTTACGCCACTGCCTAGGGATCTTTTACAAGAAATTTAATCTGTTATTTACCTGCCTGTTTCACTCAGGGTAGTTTCACCACATGCTTAGTTGCATTTATCTTTGTTATGCTAAATTGTTAAGAAGGGTATGACGCGACTCTATTTCTTAAGGAATTTGCGGTCATTCAATGTTGATATATGTATAATGAGCCTTTTTTATTCTTCTTTGGTAATTCTAAGGTTTGGTAATTTAAGGAAACACGATTGTAACAGACTAAAACGTATCATAAATCAGGCTGGAAAATTCTACAAAAAAAAAACAACTAGATGATATCTGTGAGATTAAAATAATTGATAAAGTAAAGAGATTTTAATAAATAGTTCCCACCCACTAAATGCATCTTTTACTTGGCTACCCTCGGGTAAAAGGTTAAAATCACAAGTCCGTAGAACAAATAGATATCTTAATTCATTCGTACCATTTTCCATTCGAATGCTTTATCAAAATATCAAATAAGTTTTATGGCCTAATTAAAATTTATTTTCTCCACTACTAGCTATTTATTATTTATACTGACTGCTGCATTTTGTTTTGCGATGTGATGTACCAACTGATTTTCCGTTAGGAGACAAATAAAGAATCTTAAATCTTGAGTCAGACTTCAGTAAAGCCTTTCTTTCAATACACCGTTACTGAATTTTTTAACCTCAAGCTGTTTCAGTGTTCATACATTTCTAATTCCTTGTACAATAAATTTAAAGAACTTAACATTTTTCATTTTCGAAGGCGACGTGTAGGCTCTCATATCCACAGGAAAGCCAACCACACACTTGTAGACCGCTTTTCTAATCACACTGTAAAGAATCAGAAAATGTGCTTTACCTACAGCTGATTTTTACAATACAAAATGCTGCGTTATGAACGTCCGCTCTGTGCAAAGATAAAACCACTAAAATTGTCGACTTTGTTATAGAAAACTTGACATTGCGCTCTGTGAAACCTGGCTGAAACCCGATGACATTGTAGCTATGGGTGATATGACACTCCCTGGTTTCAAGCTCCCCCGCTCTACTTAAAAGCGTGGCAAGGTGTAGCAATTTTTTATAAGAAAAGTTTAACTGCTCATTTCCCAGATTTTGAAATCAAACCAAAGTCTTTCGAATTTATGCCATGTGTTTACTTCAAATAATTACTCTATACCGTCCACAACAAAAATCAACATCCTGCACTTTTCGAAACTTCCTGGGGGAATTTTCATCAATGATCGATCATACTTCTCTAAGTCCAATGCCATTGGTCATCGCTGGTGATTTCAACGTTCATGTTAACGACCTAGAAAACACAAATGCATGTTCAAGTCTCTTGACCTGTTTATGGTATTAAACAGCACATTACAGAACCCACTCATAAACGAGGAAACATTTTAGACCTTTTTATTAGTTGGTTACTAGTGATTTGAATATTATTGAAGGAATTTCAGACCACCGTGCTATATGCAGCAAACTTCTACTTGAAATACCACAAAATCATACCCTTACTATAAACTTAAGCAGCATTTAGGTCATACAGACTACAGATTTCAATACAGATATTTTAAAACTTAGTGATTTAAGTCGGGATAATGACTGACAAAAACTGCTTATCCGCTAAAGTTGAAATGCCCTTGATAGGCATGCTCATGAAGGTACGTTCGGTTATACAGTAGTTCATACAGAAGAAAAAGCGGTGGTTATTTCAAAACAAGTAGAGACGCTCACGTCTCAAAATCGACCGTCCGCTGCTGTCTAAAGAAACAGTTATTTATTAGTAAAGTTAATAAAGCTAAATCTAGTTACTACACAACACTCCTCACTATGATAAAAACCAAAAGTACATATTTAAACTAACAAATACTCATCTTCATAAACAGTGATACTCACCTTTTCCAAAAAATCAGTCAAATCAAGAACTGGCAAACTCATTCAGCACCTACTTCTCGAACAAGGTTAGATTAATTCGCGATGGACTGGAGCCTGTAGGTAAGCCTTATACGGTCATTGAAAAAACAGTGGCGGCTGATTTCGATGAATCCTCAAAAGATGAGGTTCAAGCAAGTATTTCACAATCTTCAAATACTTCGCATCTTAAATGATCTCTTGTGGAATATGAACAATGGTATGGTATCAGTATTAGTACTTTTACAACTTTCTATCTACAGCATTCGACACTGTGGACCACAATTACTGACAAGGCCACGCAACTTGTTTGGTATCAAAGGCACAGTACTGGTTCAGATCCTATTTGAGTCATAGAAGTTGCTTTGGATACGTATTGAAGAAGCCACTTCCCCTGAGACGACGTTGCAATATGCACTTCCTCAGGGCTCGGCTTTGGGCCCAATTTTATTCTGCATGTAAATTTCACCGATTGAAGAAAAGATTAAAAACCATGGTTTAAATTATCACTGCTACGCTGATAATAAGGCGGATGTTATTTATCTTAAACAAAAGATTGTTGGCCAATTTTTACAAATCAAATTGCAGTTTATAGAAGCATTAAACAAGCTCTTTGTAACAGACTTTGCGAAGTACCCAACTTAATAAAATATTAACTAACACCATAAAACGTATAGTACGCATAGACTAATAATTGATATTTTGAAGGCATTTTGATAATGAACAAGGAGGAAGAAAATGGTTTTATGGCGTACCCCGTCCAAAGAGCCAGTGAGTAGACCACGTCGTCAATGAATTCCTCGCATACCACCGCCGAGGAACGAGTGGAAGAAGAGTCGAAGGCGAACATGGCCAAGCCGGTGTTCTTAAAGAACACGGAGATATGTGGGCCGGATAGTGAGAAAACGATTGAAGCTGAGGATATTTATATTGCTCTTGTGAAAAGCGATCGTTGGCCTACAAAAATGTCCCTCAAATGAGGGATTAGCAAGCTTAGGCCTACATTTTTTGTATTCATCTTCAAAAGACATGAAAAACAAAGATTTCAAAGCAAAAAAAAAGTACATTACAATATTAAAGTGTTTTGTAACATTAAATAAAGGCAGAAAAAAATAGAGAAAAAATAATAAAAACATGACAGAAAAAAGAGTCATTCCTTAACATTGAAAAAAACCACTTTTCAAATTTAACAAGTTAATTTCCACAAAATCAAATAGGCAGCAGTACAAAATATCATTTAAATTCACAGATCCTATAATTTTTTTAAATAACAAAACCAGGAAACTACTGTAAATAATGATTATGATTATTGCATTCTCATCACATTATTTTTTTAAACACCGTTTTCTCTTGTAAATATCGTTTCTTTTTCTTTTTTATTCCATGGAAATATATTTTTTTAATTATACGTTGATCTCAGCAGTAGTTTTAATTTATAATGAGTTATTCTCTAACATACAATCCCGAAAAAGATACAAAATATTTTCTGCATTATACTAGCAAAAAGTACACTAAGATGAGATATGCCAAAAACCAGACAAAATTTTCAGGCGAAGAAGTATATTTTTTCCCTTTTAAGTTGGAAATAAATTCGGAAATAACTTTTAACAAAGAATACAATTTTTTTTTTCTTTTTTCTTTTTTTTGGAGGGGGCAGCCATGTAGGTTTGAAACCAATTGACAAGCAAATCTAAAGGCAAGCACATAGAGACAGGAAAAAAACCCTTTATCATATAACTTATTTTTTGTTTGGTTTTTTGGCAGCAATATGATTTTTTAAACGGATTTTAAGCCAATGGAGACAGAAGGAAAAAAAATCCCTCGAAGTTTTTTTTTTCTTTCTCCTCGCATATCATAAGCCGGAACCATTATATCATGTGATTTATACATTCCCATCTCTCCTTAAATTTTGATAATTTTTGTTTCCTTTTGTAAATAAGATTTTCTATTTTGTGGAAATACCTAATTGTATTAATAAGTACACCTCTAGTAGGTTTAATACCCTTTATTTTACAAGTAAAAATATAGAACTTGGTAATGAGTAGTATAAGGGTAAATAACATCTTATTTCTGGCACACTTTAAACCAAATAACATGGACCATTTATCTAGGTCAATATTGAGCAATGTTTTTCGTATAACCAAATAACTCTAACATACCTACAATCCCATAAGAGATGCAAAATATTTAACGTATTGCTTTTATAAAAAGTGCATAAAGGTGAAATATCTTCAAACTTTGAAACCATTTCATTTGTTCCCAAAATTCTATGAACAATTTTATATTGGAAATATTGTAATTTTGAATCGGTGGTACATTCAAAATGTATTTTATATGCAAAAACCCAGTCGAGCTTAGGCCTATTTGATGATGCACTTTCATTTAGACATGGCCGTTTACGCTTATTATAAGAAGCTGAATCCTCCATCGTATTAGCAGATGAAGATTCACCGCACAAGAGTTGCAACATTTTCCGAATTCAAAAATTTGTGTTTCACAGTTAGAGCAAAACATGGCTTTTACTCCGTCCATTGATGTGCATGCGCCCACAGGGCTTTCATTATTTATTTGCTGCGTTTCCTTTTTTTATTTACAGTGTTTTCTTTTTTGTTTGCTGGTGTTTTTATTTATTTTTTTTATTTTTTTGCAGCGATTCTTTTTTTGTTTGCGGCATTTCTTTTTTGTTTGCAGCGTTTCCTTTTTGTTTGCAGCATTTTTGTTTGCAGCCTTTCTTTTTTGTTTGCAGCGTTTTCTTTTTTGTTTGCTGGTGTTTTTCTTTATTATTATTATTATTATTATTATTATTATTATTTTTGTTTACAGCGTCTATTACTATTTTTTTTTTTTGCACCGTTTGTTTTTTGTTTGCAGCATTTCTTTTTTGTTTGTAGCATTTCTTTTTTGTTTGCAGCGTTTCGTTTTTGTTTGCAGTATTTATTTTTTGTTTGCAGCATTTCTTTTATTTTCAGTGTGTCCCTTGTGGGCCATCGTAGCATTGGGAGTATTGCGATATTAGTTAATTTTAAATTCATTTAAATTCTTTAAAATTTATACCATCCCAGATATCAAATAAAACGCCACCCCCGGGTTTTAGTTGTTGATCAAATCTATAAATTTTGAAACCATTGATAAGTAGTAATAGTAGTAGTAGTAGTAGTAGTAGTAGTAGTAATAGTAATAGTAATAGTAATAGTAATAGTAATAGTAATAGTAATAATAATAGTAATAATAATAATAATAATAATAATAATAATAATAATAATAATATTAATAATAATAATAATAATACACTGTCGTACATAATGTACCACTCTCGGTAAATGATGGAACCATCACAGAGATTCTGTGTAGATATTGTTGTAAATCAAAAAGTAAACCACAGAGAATCAAATTAAGAGTGGCAGGTAAACTCACGAACTGTTGTAATAGAGATCGTGTTGTTTTTTAACAGAAAGGCTTTAAAGCTATTTCTAGAAACATAAGATTGGATCCTTCAGTGCAACGGTCTACTATCATGGGCAGGATAATTTTTAAAAATGTAGCAACTGCCTAGAAGAGGGCAATTTAAAATATGAATGCCAGAATGGAATCAGATGTAGAGCTTGTTTAAACATCGGTCATGTACGATAAAACCTAGCTACGCAGAATCAATAATGAAAGAGCAACTTAAGAACGCCAATTTTGATATTTCAGTGCTTATTTTCGTCACAGAAAATGAAACATCAGGGCTTGATACTGTCAATTAATGATCACAGGACGGTAAGCATAGTTAATGCAAACACGGCGTCCAATATCCAGATTCCAATACAGCAGGTCAAAAGTTCTAGTGTTCCGAAGCAACAAAAAAACGCTACCGTACTTTTGCTAAGGTTATAACAGAAACACATGAGAAGTTCTCTTACGATGAGACAAGCTCGGAGGAAACATATTAGAGGAAGAGAAAACTCGGAGGATAACAAAGGAATCAGGAATAATTAAAGATTTTAAGAAAGAAAAAGAAATTTTTAAAAAAGAGGAATCTCCGAAGAAGAAAAAAATGTTGCTGATGCAAATCTTTATGAATTGTTCTGATCTTAAATTACTTTCTCTAAATGTTCGTGGTTTAAGGAAAAAGATAAAACGCGAACAGCTTTAGCAATTTTTTTTTGTACAGGAAACTCGTCTCACAGCGGAGCTGAATAAGGATTTGGATTGGAAAAAGAATGTCATTTCACAGTTTTGGAACATCAAATAGCAGGTGTGTCTGTTTTCTTTAGTGAAAGCTTTATAGGCAGAATCATTAATGTTCATAATGACAGCTGTGGTATGAAATTATTAATTAATATTTAAATTAAATGTTTTTACCCTAGTTAACATATATGCACCTAATAGTACAAAGGAAAGATCTAGCTTCTTTAAATTTGGATACCAACTTGTCTAAAATATACCACAACATATAGCTTATTGAACAGTAAATTAATAATTGGCGGTGATTTCAACTGTTTTTTTTTTCTAATGATCTGGATAGAAAGGGTAGCTCCAAACATTCTAAACATGATAATTCGACCATTGAGCTGAATTGTCTTTGTACAAAACTATACGTTTATGATATATGGTGGAATATTTTTCCAGACACACTTCAGTTTACTTGACGGAGAATGAATCCTCCTGTCTCAAGCAGATTAGATTTTAGTTAATTAGTAACGCAATGGTAACTGTTAACAATATTGTTAAAAAAAGATATTCACAGTTTATTGAATGTGAATGGTACACGAATATTTCAATTACCACAAATACAATCAGCGACTGCTCAATGAAAATATTCTATTCTGATATCGCAGGAATCTCCCAGTATGCTGTATAGATTATATTTTGCAAAATGCCTATCTGCACAACTGCGGCATGACTAAACAACATCGAACCATTCATTTCGGGCAAATTAAATCCCACAATTCATATATGTTAATGTACAATGTGCGCATGACAACTAAGAAATCCACAGATATTGGAAATTCCCAGATATCTCGACATTGTTAATGATAGGCATTGAAGATCAGTTTTTTTTTAATACAATTTGGTATTGCTCTGCCTTTTTATGCTGTTTGAGTTGTTTATCATTTGGATTGGATTGGATTGGATTGGATTGGATTTATTCGGTGTAAACACCAAGGATAGCCCAAGAAAGTCTAGACTTATTTCCAGTGGGGTCCTTCTGGTGGTGATTGGGCAGTACACCGAAAGACAATCCCCTACTCTTTTCCGAAGAGTGTACTGCGTCCTTTAACG